CATATCATTAGCATATTACACTTTGATTGGTTGAATGGCCAACCGGATGACTGGACACTTAGTATATTGGGTTTTATTATATAAGATTGTATTGCGGATTCCCCCCTGAAATAGAGCTTCCACAGTGTTTTCATTTCTCACTGATGGGCTGTTGGACTCATCCTCAGTGAAATTCTTTAGGAGTAGGTCTTGCCCAGTTACAGTTCTTCAGGAGTGGTCTGCTCTGTGATAGAGATGGATTTGGTGTCTGGAGTAGGAGTCTTTGTGCTTTAACACTCTGATCCTATCTGCTCCACTTGGTTCCAAAGAAGCAATTGGCCTATATTCCCTCAGAGTTATTTCTGTCTTGTTCTGTTTCCACCTCCTTACACTCCCTAGCACACCCTTTCCTTCACCCCAAATCCCACCTTGGGCAACCTTCCAAAGCTGGGCAGGCAATTCTGCCCAGGTCCTCTTCCCCCTTACTCCTCTGAGAAATCCTGGCGGGACCTGGCTAATTCTATGGTGGCCCAGCCTGACCCAACTCTTCCATGAACCTGCCTGTGCCACCCAAGAAGCTCAGCCACGGCAGGCTGTCCCTTAAAAAGCTGGCATTTTGACTCATAGCAGGTGCCCTTGGCATGGGGATGTCTCAAAGCAAAGGAGGCATACTGCAGTGGTCTGAGCAGAACCCTGAGTTCTGGGGCAGAGATGTGGGTTTATGGTACTCTGATGGTTTATTGACACTAATGGCTTTTCTTCTCTATTATTCATGCTTTTACTCTGGGCAATCCCGGGAAGTATTTAGGGTGAATGTTATAGATATAATCTCCAAGGATTCGGAGAGGGAGCAAGCACTAACATTTAGTGGGTGCTGAGTGGGAGGTAGGTTCTTGCTTGGCTGGCTGGTATCACAACGAGCAGGGACATGGCTGTTGGAGCGAATCAGCACTTGGTTCTACCCTAGATCCACCTCTAACTGGCTGTGGGGCTTAGATGAGCCAGTAAACCAGGGTGGCTTACTGTACACTCGGAGCCTAGGGTTCTGCAACGTGGAGGTGACAGGCCTGGGATGTAGGCTTGGGCTCCCTGGTGTCCATGAGGCAGCGAGTGCAGTGGCTACAGCACAGGCCTCGCAGCCAAGCAGAGCTGCTGGAGGGCCCCTGCATCATCGTTCAACCAGCAGGGACCCTGGTCCAGTCACTGAACCTGCTCTGAGACTCTTTTCCACATGTGTAAGATGGCGATGAAAGTAGTCCCAGCCCCCAAAAGTTATTATAATGATTAAATGAGAACGCAGGTGTTAAAGGGAAAAAAACCACAGGCCCCAAATGGCGTCACTCGAGTTAAAAGCCCATGATACCAAACCTAGATTTAAGACCTGATCTAATTGCAGTTTCAACCTCTCCCAGAAACAATCTTAATCAACCAGTAGGGAATTTTTTGGTCAAGGACCAGTAAGGTAATATGTCACATAGGCCCTCTCCATCCCCCATAGAAAGAAGAGGCTCCCTATATAATAAAGCCCTTCCCCTTCTCTTTCCTCCAAGGAAAAGGTGCCCCTCCCCCAAAGTAATCCTTCCTTTTCTTTCTGGCTAATAGCTCTCTTGCCCCCGACCCAGCTTCCTAAAAAGACCCTCCATTTTGTACAACCCCTTGGAGCACCCTTCCAATTGCTAGTTGGGATGCTTCCTGAATTGTTCAATAAAATCAACTAGGTATCCAGATTTACTTGGTTAAATTTTGCGGTTTTCTTTAAATATGTTTTTATAAATTGATATTTAGAGAGAGAGAGAGGAAGGGAGAGGGATAGAGAGATAGAAATACTGGGGATCTAGCCCGCAACCTCGGTATGTGCCATGACGGGGAATTGAACTGGTGACCTCTTGGTTCCTGGGTCTACACTGAACTGCTGAGCCACACCAGCTGGGCAAGTGCTGTGTGTTTTGTTTGTTGTTGTTTTAACACCAGTAGACTGCCTTGTGTTCCAAATAGTAGCGCTTCTTTTTTTTTTTTAAATATATTTTATTGATTTTTTACAGAGAGGAAGGGAGAGAGATAGAGAGTTAGAAACATCGATGAGAGAGAAACATCGATCAGCTGCCTCCAGCACATCTCCCACTGGGGATGTGCCCGCAACCCAGGTACATGCCCTTGACCGGAATCGAACCTGGGACCCTTCAGTCCACAGGCCGACACTCTATCCACTGAGCCAAACCGGTTTTGGCAATAGTAGCGCTTCTTAATATTAGTTTCATCATTATTGTTTGAAAAGGATATTCTAATGTCCTGGGAAAGAGGGAACGGTATGCTTTGCCTACGCACCTACCTGGAATGGAAATCCACTCAACTAATGAGCCTTTTCTTGGGCTGTTGGGGCAGCTTCTCAGCCCTGCCTTTGTGCTGAGAGCAGCCCAGCTGGGCTGGTGTGGTCTCTGAGGAGGTTCCCCCACCCCCAGTTGCCGGTCTGGTTTCTTTCACCCTCACAAAAGGCCTGGCAGAGCTGCCTAGCGGAGTCAGTATCTCCAGGGTCCCGTGGGACAGAAGCAGCCCACGGTGGCCATGGCTGCTTGTCCAGTCCCACCTGATGCCCCTCCCCTCCAACTCTCTCCTAGGACTCACTCCTCCTGAGCCATGTGGCTGGTCTGAGGCCCTGGAGTCTGACTGGCGAGGTGCGCACCTGGCCACCTGGCTCTCCTCCAGTCTGAAAGACCTCAGCAAGGGCCCACACAGCCAGGCGGGCTGCTATTGTTCTGGCCCACACCATTGTGAGGAAGCTGTTTCTTTGGACAGCGTTGGCTTTCTTGGCTTCCAATGTGTGCTAGTTTTTCTTCCCATTGCCCAGAAGGGAGTAGAGTGTAGGGGGAAGAGTACCAGCTTCAGGGGCAGGTGGCCTGGCGGGTACTCCTGGGCCAGGCACTGTATGAAGCATGGTGCCAAGTGCTTTGCAGAAATTAGAATTATCTCAGGAGCCCTCATAACATTGCCATTAGAGGCTCCTCCTAACACATGAGGGCACAGAGTGGTAAAGTAACTTTCTCAAGCAGCATAGCAAAAGGGGGCTGGGATAGCAAGGAGGGAGTCCGCGGGAGGGGAGGAGAGAAGGGGGAAAAGGAGAGAGGGAGATTGCTTCACAATCTTGCCCAGAGCCTGACTTACAACGGATTTAGCCACACCCTTCCCAGGGAGGAGGTCAGCAAGGACTGAATGGAAGGTTTAGGAAGATACAAGGGGGCCTTCCCAAGGAAAAACACATCCTAACGGGAGATGTGAAGAGGCATTATTTCCGTGGGGGAGCAGGAAGCCAGTGAGCATGCCTTTTTGGGTGGTCACAGCAACCATTTAATTCAGAGCCTGTGTTTGGATCCCAAAGGACCCCAGGCCTCTGAAGTCATGCACACCTGAGCCGAACGCAGCCTTATGAGCAATAAGACCATGAAGGGGGCGTCCCTGATTCCTGTGGTTGCCAGTGAGATTTATTTTTTAATTTTTGAATGAGTGAATGAACAGTTTCACACGCAAGAGCCTTGGCCCACCAGCAAATGTCACCTTCAGCAGAGGTTTTCTTGTTTCTTCTGGCCTGTGATTTCCACATCCTCCCAGTGTTTCAGCAGCTTCCTCTTCCCCATTCCTGAAAGAGCCAGCGTTTCCCTCCCCGGGCTTCCTTCCTGGCTTCCTGTGTTGCTAAGCCTCTTGCAGTTGTCATCATGTCTTCAGCAAGCAGTTGATAGGTACAGGAAGTTGCACCAGACGGGAGATGAAACCAGCAATCAATAAAAAAGGACTATGTTTCTAAGAAAAATGCATCACTGGCTTCCCGCAGGAGTTGTGTACCATATGTCCTAATATCCGTGGAACAATGCATCTCGTTTTTAGCTCTTCTGCTTGGTTTTCCTGACCATCTCAGCAAGAAAGAAACCGGACCTTTTAACCTGCTGCTGCCCAGCTTACCGGTGACTGATAGTAAACGATGGCCTCTCCTTTTAACCCTTTCATCAGAGATGGCAACAGAGACTCTCTCCCTCCAGCCTGCTTTCTCCTGGCTACTAGCTTTAGTATATTTATGGTGCATGAGTCACCAAGCTGCCGCCTGATTGGATAAAAACCAAGCACCCCTGAGACCATCAGTCAATTACAGCTATTCTCAGCCCCATTCACAGATTTATTAGCTTGCACACACAGAGAAATTCATTCAGCAAAGTTCATTCATAAAAATTTCAACACTCTGCGTACCATCCCGCACATCTCAGCCTTCCGCCGCCGCCGCCGCCGCGCTCCCGAAAGAAGCTCTGAGAGGGACGGATGCTCTGGGCCAGGGCGGGCCGGCAGGAGGGGATGCGAGGAACTCGGAGGGACCACAAGTCCCTGAAATAATGCCGAGCAGCTCCGGCCACTAGTTCTCCTGGCTTGTGGCCCAGACGGAATGCAAGACAAGATCTTCCAAGAGAGGGCAGCCATTAGAATCAAGAAACTCAGGCAGAAAGCCCTTTGGCTCCTATAGACCTTTTCTTTTTCTTTTTTAAATGGACAATCACTGGAACAAAGGGTTAATAGGCCAGTCATTGCCCCGCCCTGTGGGAGCCGGAGGGAGCAGGTTTGAAAGTTCCTGTGTGCCGCGGGGCGGCTGGGGGTGGGGGTGGGGGTGGGGGCGCTGAATATTTCTGCAACCTCCAGCACCGCAGGCGAGGCTGCGGGACCCGCGGGCCGGTGCGGGGCCGGGTTCTGCTCCCAAGAGTTGGCCTTGAGTGGTCCCCGCCGCCGCGAGCCGGGACCCAACCGAGGCTGACCCGGCGAGGAATCCAGGCGAGGACACCGGGTGCTGCCGCCCGGACCGGGGGAGGGCTGGGAGCTGGGGAGCCGTCTTCCCTCTCGGCTGTCACCCCCAAGGGCTCGGCCGCCCAGCCGAAGAGGTGGCCGCCGCGAGCCGCACGGGGCGTGGAGACATTTGCTTTCCGCACCGGTTATCTAGCAGACGAGCGGCGATTGATGCCACAGTGTCCAGTCTCAGCGCTGCCAAGGCTATGCGAGAACGCAGCCCGGACGGCTTGGCAGGACTCGCGCTGCATGTAGGACTCTTCGGGCACCCCGGGATGCTGCACAGGGCCAAGTACAGCCGCTTTCGGAACGAGTCCGTCACGTCCTTGGACGAAGGCAGCCCCGGAGGCTCCGTCGGGAACAAGGGCTCCCCGCAGCCTCCCTACCCCGCCCTGGCCCCTCACTTGCCGGCTGAAGATGCTCCCTCGCCGTCCCAGGAGAGCCCCACCCCACTGTGCACCTTGATCCCGCGGATGGCCAGCGTGAAGCTGGCCAACCCAGCCGCCTTGCTGAGTCTGAAAAACTTTTGCTTGGGGACCAAAGAGGTGCCCCGGCTGAAGCTCCAGGAAAGCCAGGATCCGGCTCCCAGCAGCCCGGCTTCACCCGAAAACAGTCTAAATAGGTCCGGGTCTGCACCTCCGCAGCAGCAGGACGTGGTGGGGCGCAGGGCAAGCGCCCTAACTCCCGATGCCTGCCCCCTCCCGGGCCCTGGGGACCCGACCCCCGGGAGCCGGCAGGACAGGCACTTCCTGCAGCACCTGTTGGGGATGGGCATGACCTACTGTGTGAAGGTGAGTCCGTTTCCGTCTCCCTCTCTGCACGCCCGAGGGCTCCTGGGCACAGACAGGGGCCTCTTCTCTGCTTTCTGCGGGGTGCCGCACATCACCGGGCTGTGGGCTAGGTTTGGACAGGACATTGTGCAACTGGACCCAGGGCAGGAGGGGAGCCGGGCTTACCCGCTCTGCAAATACCTGACTTGTGCTGGAGTCGCACAACTTTGGTTCAAGGGCATGAACTAGTGCTAACTTAGGGTAGTTGCCAGGTGTGGGGGCAACTTCTGATCGGGACAGGGAGATAGCGCCTTCTTGTCCCCACTGGACCTAGCATTCTGGCCAAGAAGAGTCCAGAATTTCAAATCTGATTAGTGATTGAGACCCGGTAGGTTATACCGGCCATTGTACTTCGGGAGAGATTTCTGTGCTAGAGGAATACATGCTGTGTAAGGAACTTGAATTATACTTTAAATTTCAATTTAGCATTTAACAAACATGTCTCAAAACATGGCCAAGTCTCTAGTCTTGTATGAGGAGCCAGTCTTAGGTCTTTGGTGCGCATTTTTGCATTTATTGCCTGCACTGAGGCAAGTGCGACTTGTCCAGGAGCTGTGTGCAAAGCCAAGGTCCTTGCTGGCTTTGCATCTGCTCTTGCCCAGTCCAGGTCTGGGTGAAAGAAGTAGATTTGGTCCTTGCCCTTCTGGAGCTCACCTTTCAATTGAGGAGATCAACGAGTGCATGTGAAATAAAAAGAGAGAGATACCTAGTAATAGATATCTAGTGTGAGAAGGCTGAGGGAAATCAGAAAGATGGACGGTTGTGATCTGGGATTTATTCATGAGGCCCCTTCAGGGGAAGGTGCATCTTGGAAGAGAGAACACATCTGGATTGGCAGAGGGGAGGAGATTCCTAGCAGGGCAAGAATATGAGCACAGCCTAAAGGTAGGCATGACTGTGGTGGCTGCAGGCCAGCATCACAGAGGCTGGGCTTTCCTGAGAGAAGGGGCTGTTAGGTCGGAGAGAGCCCAGGATCAGATACATGCAGACATGACAAGATAATGGACTTCCAGGCATGCTGTAATGAGGGGTGGTACATAGCTGGGGCTCAAACAAATACGAGTCAGAAAGAGGCCAGTATAGATCATGGATAGCTTAGGAAGAAGGGAGCAGTTGACCAAAGAAAGCTCTTAGATGTCGAATGAGGAGTTTTTAAACAATGACTAGATCCCTTGTAGGTTTGTAGGTAAACTGTGACTTCACCAAAATGGTTTCAAAAAGATCAACCTGTGGATTGTGATGAATTGAAGCCAGGAGAAATTGGAGATTGGAAGGTCAATAAGAAAGAAAGTTCAGGAAAGAAGGATGAAAACATGGGTGAAGGTAGCGATGAGAGAAAGGAGATGAGTGTGAGAGAAACTGTGAGAAACCTTCGCAGCTTTGGGTGATGGGTCAGATCATTTCAGGTCATAATACAAATCACGGAATGGTCAACATTTATTGAGCAGTGGGCAGATTGGTGAGTTTGTGCTTGCTGTTTATGGAAGTTGGGGGAAAGGCTGATGAAGGGGATTGTGAGGAGTGAAAAATACCTTCAGACTTAAGTCTCAGAATAAGAGTAGTGAAGCCAGTGATAGAAGCCGAGTGAATTGGGGAGACTCATGCTACGTTTGCCCTTGACATGTTACATTTAAAGTGATGTTATCCAAGTGGAACTTATTTGTAAGTAGGCTGTCACTTAAGACTAGCACTCAGGTGAGGAGTCTCATGTGAAGGTGTAAATTTCAGAGCTAGCCCGATCACTGTATTATAAATAGGCAATTAAAATCTCTAGGAAGACCAATAACGAACATTGAGGGGGTTACAAAGAGAGCAGGCTTGGGGCAGCCTTGGAAGATGGATAATTAAAACCTCTAAGGAAGATGAACTTATGGGACACTCAGCTCTTGCTCTCCTCCACAATGACATGACTCATACTGGAAATAGCTTCATGTATCTACTGAAAGTTCATGGGCACAGTCTCATTTGCCAAGCGTAAGTGTCTGCTCGGTCCTAAAAGGAAAATGACTGCCTCTCCAAACCCATGGTCTTGGCACCTGCCTTCCCATCACCGAGACATCCCCTACCTTCTGCTGTGCCTTTCCTCCCCTCTGGTACTGCCTTCCACCTCCCCACACCCAGGCACCACCTGTACCATTTTAAATGGCAAGAGTTGCTGTGTGCTCTCCATTGTCCCTGGTGAGTGCCTCCACTGGCATTTTGCATTTTTAATGAGAAGCCCATCTGTCTTTCCCTGGGATGACAACAGACCCCAGGAAGAGTGCTGACCCATGACCCATCCTATTTTGCCATTAGACAGTGATGTGAGGTACCAGTTGACACCTCTCTTAAGAAGTCGAAACACACAGAAGAGCTTACTTTAATAATTTTTATAGAATCCTAACTTTGAAAGATGGCAGGGGCTCAGAAGTGATCAAGTTCAATGTCCCTACAGAGAAACTGAAGCCCAGATAAGTGATTTTTTAAAGGTCACACAGAAGTTAAAAGGACAGATCCAGAACCCCAGTCCCTTGCGTGCCATTCTGGGCTCTTTTCACCACAGGTTTTCCTCGTGGTTGAGATTCTGTTCCTCAGGATTCTTTGAGATGTGAACCAATTTAAAAAAAAAAAATGAAATGGAAACCTATTAATTTACAGTGAAAAATACCGAACCAAAATTGTGATCCCTATATAGGAACAGGTACATAGGAAGACTTAAACCAAAGGTTACTCGGTGATGGTGGAAGCAAGGCATAGAAGTGACAGGGATATTCTTAATGGTGAGTCGCATAGGGACAGATTTTATAGACAAGAGGCGGCCACATATTTCACTTCCTCATCCGCATCATATGACTGCTCCCCTCCCCCCCAAAACTTACTTGTTTATTCATTCACTCATGTATTCAACGAATATGTATTGTGAACCAATTTATGTGACAGGCCCTGGGGATACATATGTGAATAAAAGAGACCAGGTCTGGGCCTTGGTGGGACTTACATTCTAGGAAGCAGAGATGGGCTCTGGTTGAATATTGAATAAACAAGTCAGTAGAATATGTCATGTGCAGTAGGTGTTAGGAGAGCAATACAGCAGGGGAAGTAAGAAAGGCAGTGGCCTGGGTGGGGATGGCAGGTATATTGTGCGGGGGCTAAAAATGGCATAGTTCATTATGTTTCCTTGCACATTTTATCTTTCCAATAGGAACTGTATTTGCCCTCTAAGTTACAGCTGACTTTGGGTTAAATATCCTTTTTAAAAATGACTCTTCTTTTGGTCTCTTGACGTAGACTCAGTTAGACAGCTGAAAATACTTAGAAATCCTGAGCACCTAATTTCGAGTCACTTTCATTTAAGCTCAGGCCTTGCACACCCTGGAGGTCACTCAAGGGAGATGGCCAGCAAGTCATCCTTTGAGAGGTGCTGGGCCAGAAACAGCCAGCCAGGTCTGAGCAAAGTAGTGAGGTGAGTAAAGTCTGCCCCACGATGCCAAATGGTTTATTTTCGCCGTAAGATTAAGTCTCATTTTTTCCTGAGGTCTCCCCACGTCACTTCACCCATCAGCAGACATCCACCTGGAGGCCTCCCAGGTGCCCCCCATGTCTGTGGTGAGTGTGGAAAACATACAACGTGACGGGTGTGCTCACCTCTGAAATGAGCGGCTTGGTCTTCATGGCCTTCGCGGTGCCCCCCAGCACCAGCGTTGAATGACTCCAGGCTCCTTTCTCCAGTGGGAAGTGTTTAAACTTTCCCGTCCCCAACCCCCCAAATTGCCTGTAATTTAGTTCAAAGACTACATAAAGCAAAGACAGAGAAACCCTGCTGCGACAGGTGAACATATTAGTTCTCACACTGACCCTCGGAGGGAGGCTGCCTTCTCCAAGTGAGGGCACTGAGACCCCAGAAGTCAGTTATCTGCCCTTTACAACCCAAGTAGCAGACAGGATTCAAACCCAGGCTTGTCTCCCTCCATTGCTCGTCTCCTTCCAGGCGTCCTGGAAGTGTGCGAGTGGAGTAGTGTGTGTGGAGGACCACACTGTGCAGGGGAGCTTTATTACAGGAACGACCCTTAGAGCTTGCTGGGTCGCATTCATTTGCATGATTTCAGTCTCCTCACTTCAGCCCAGCCCAGCCCAACCAATTCCTTAGACCGTGTTAGTGTCCTAGGGCGGTGGTGACAAATATCACAAACTGGGTGGCTTACAACAACAGATAGTTATTCTCTTGCAATTCCGGAGACTAGAACTCTGAAATCAGCAGTCCTTGGCATTCCTTGACTTGTGGATACATGACTCTAATCTCTGCCTCCTCTTCACGTGGCTTTCTCTCCTGTGTGTCCACGTTCAAATTTCCCTCATCTTATAAGGACACCAGACCCTGGGGTAGGGCCCATATGAATTCAGCATGACTGCATCTTAACCTGATTACATCTGCAAAGACTCTACCTCCAAATAAGGTTGCATTCACGGGTTCTTGGGGTTGACTTCAACCTACCTTTTTGGGCGATGTAATTCAATCATAACAGTTCCCCAGAACATTAACTGCGATGTGTTTGCCCACATAGACGTCCTTGGGTATTGGGCTCATCAGCTTTGTATGCAAATACAAATTTGTATTGAGGTATTTTCTTTACTTCCTTTGTAAATATCACAGCATACTCTTATTGTCTATCCTTCTGTGTCTAATATTGTGTCTTAACACTGAGCTACTAGGTTAGTGCTGTCTGTTGTCTAGATTAGATGTAGTCCACAGAGCTACAATGTTCTGTCTGCCCAAGTATCTTTTTCACAGGAGTGCACAGGTCTAGGTGTGACAAGATCTGGGTTAGAGTAATGGCCCTCACATTAAATAGCTGTGTGACCTTGGGTGAGTCACCTTACCTCTCTGCTTTTCTCAGATTTAAAACAAGAAGTTTGAACAAAATGCTGCCTGAGATCCGGAGACGCCAGGTCTCCTTTCCCACTGGTCTTAAGTATCCTTCTCT